TTCCCTAAGAAACAAACCCGCAAGCTCGAAAATGCACTCTCTTCGACTGACGACTCTTTCAGCTAAAGCATACTATTTTTTTACTCAGTCCAGTCCTTCTGAAAATGTCAAAGGAAAATGTGCATGTTTTCATGTGCGCTCCCTCAAAAATAAAATACTTAATCGGGAGTCATCAATTAAAAATACGCATAAGGCGGTCTCTCTTAGCCCGGAAAAGTGTTTCCCTTAATTTTACTTGAGCCCTTTCAATCGGAGGATCCAGACACTTCGAACAGAAGGGGTGGAGGGGAGGTCCGAAGGGCTTCCCTTGGACAATTTATGAAATTTTAAAACATCTAGTATGCAGTTTGAGTCAATTCCGTCATGAGTAATTTACAAATCTGAGCTTCCTTCCTTCCCTCTTTCGTTCCCCTATTTTTCGGGTCAACGAGGGGGGCTTGAGCCCCCTTTTGAACCGTCTGTGACCATTTTGAGAGCGTGAACTGCACATTCATATAACACATATGCACATGGCATGCATATGCATGCATATAGCACATTCATATGTTCCGAACACTGGGGACGTCAAGTAGCCTATTCTTGGCATTGAAGGCGACTTTGTCCGCGCGATCGCGACTCAGAAATTTGCATGCCTGTATCAACGGGTGTTCTCGGTCGGTGGGGATGGATTCGATCGACATGAATCAATCGGAAAACGAAAACGTGAATCGATAGATGTGAATTAATCGACACCGATTCAATCGATCGTTAATTTAAGAAAAACCCGTGTCGATTCGATCGACATGAATTGGTGGAAAAATAAAAACGTTTAGTCGATCGACGTGAATCGATCGACTCAGATTCGATGGACAAAATTCGATCGATTTACGGGCTTATATTGATCGACTCACGGGTTTGTCGATCCAATCACGGATTTGTCGATCGACTCGCGAGTTTGTCGATCGATTCACGCGTTTGTCGATCGATTCACGTTTTCATGTTTCCATCGATTCATGCCGATTGAATCGATACGAGTTTTTTTTTAAATTAACTGTCTGTCGAATTGGTATCTATTGTTTCATGTCGATCGATTCACGGTTCCATTCTGCGATCGGTTCATGTCGATCGAATGCATACCCTCCTTCTCAGTTTACAGTTTGATTTATTTGAATCCGTTGAGAAGTTACATTTGTGAGAGAAATGGCATAATTGAATTTATTTTTTAAAGAAATTGGAAGACTATGTATAGCTGTTTTATCTTTTTTTCCAATCCTCATTCATAAACATCGATGACCAAAATGCAAAACCACGCATCTCCGTTCGCGACGTTTTAGACTTCCTGGTATACTTCGCTGTGCCTTTGGAAGAGTGGTCAACGTAATTTCTTAAAAATTATCTTGATTATTCTTCTCTACTAGCAGAATATTCTGTAAGAATTTCAAGCTACAAAGTTGCTTTATTTCTCTTTAAAAAAATACAATAGGAGGGTAAATTTTGAAACACCGCAATGGAGGTACGCGGTTTAGCATTTTGTCCATCGATAGGTGTGAGGAAGCTGGTGCGGAAGATGAGCCCAGTATTCCATGAGTATTTCTCTTGAATAAGCACGAATGACCGTACGTAGTTTTTCTGGAGAACGGCTTTTCTGATTCCTTGTATTCTAAGGCCTTGTCCACACGAGCGTGGTTCGCGGAACTTAGTTCGGGGAACTTGTTCCCCGAACAAGTTTTAGCTGAGCTGAAACTTATTCCTCCAAACCCCCGAACTTCCCCCGTACTCCCAGCTTCTATGTTTCCTTTTTTGTGGATTTGTTTGTTCTTGTTTTTTACGTCCTTTATGTCTTGCCATTCGTTTTTGTTACTCTCGCGGCCGCAGTAATCTAGTATTTTGCAATAATTGTATAGTTTTATGGAAGTTCCGGTTCCAATTCGAATGAACTCGTGTGGACAGCATCCCTCGTTTTGAGGAGCAAGTTTCGGGAACTGAGCAGTTCGTCGAATAAGTTCCTCGAACCGCGCTCGAGTGGAAAGGGCCTTAGATACCCATATGTATTGGTCGCAGGCAATTAGCAATCGCCGGCAGTTTGCAAGCGGTTCACGCGCTGTTTCAATACATCGTAATAATGCGCATCGACATAATGCAATTTTAAAGGGTTATGGTCGTCATAAGTGTGAGCTCGGCTTGAAGCACCTTCATTTATTGTGATACTCTACGCTTTGCCACGATGTTAGTTTAGTTGCCTGTCCGATCTTAACCCAACTAATGTCGCGGAGTACACTGCACGCGCTTCTGAGTGTGCATATTCCTGCCATGTTTTTAAGGATGGAAAAGTGTCCATTCACATTATAGGCAACATGATCAGCACTCTAATCTTATTCTTTTATCGTTGAACTTGATGATTTTTTATATTTATTCACCACTGGCTCGTATTTGCCGGCTATTGTCAATTGTCTGACATATAAAGTCCGTGCTCGCGCTAATTAGCTAGAGCGACATGTTTAGCAACATCGTCTTCAGACGGTTTGGCTGAGGCGCGTGACAAGTGCTGCTAGCAACGTTGCCGATTCCCACCAAACTATTTTTTTCTTCATTGAAGATCCTGCACAAAGTGGCAACGTAATTAGTGGCGTAAAGTTCAATGGCACACAGTGGTGATTCTCAAAAAGTTAATAGCACCGCACATCTTCCAGTGAACTCCATCATTTGAATACTCCCACCCATTAGTTTACATACATCGAATCGGAGGGAAATCAGCGTGACCTCCTTGCAAAGCTTCTTGCTGACCACTGTGGAAATATCAAAAACTTTAAAAAACGCATTATTCGGACTTAGCTTTTCTTGGGTGCCAAAATATCGTTGAGGAAAAAACTCATAATTTTAGGCCGCAGATAGTCATGCGCATGCGCGTACAATGGCTAGGAAGCATGGATTCTACAGTTTTTTTTGACCAGTCGCATAAACTCAATTATTGATGAATTATTGTATAGATATATTTTTATAGATCATGATATAATGGACCACTAGACAAGGTACGAATTTTAGTATTCTGATACATGTTTCTTGATCAAAATTTCACGTAGAATACGAAGCGCACAATGAAAATCGCCAAAATCAACTCCTTCCGAAGATATTTAATGATTCTTGATGAATTCAAACCACCCGCTCATGAAAACTCAATGCTCTGCGTGATTCACATCCATGCGCTGAACGTTATCATGACAGTCTCTGCGATCTAAAAATCTGGCAACCTCAATCTTGACGCTAAGGCTCAGCTGTAGCAAATTGCTTATAGTTTGAACAACACATGGTGGGAAATGAAAATTACTCGATTGAGAAGCTTATTGAAACCGTTGTAGTGCGCGATTTGACTGACGTAGAGCTTTGAGTTTCTTATCAGCGGGCAGTTCAAATTCCTCGTAACCAATGTGAAATAAAAACATTAATATCTTCGTTAGGAGTTTGTTTCATTAGTTTTTGTTGCGCGAATCGTGCTCTACGTGAAATTCTGACTAAGGAAACATGTATCAGAATGCTTAAATTCGACTCGTGACTTGATTTAGGTAGAAACACTCTTGAGAGTGCCGTCAGTGAAGAATTTATTTTGAATCAAGAATAAAATCGCTGAATGAAAGCGGATTTTTCCGTGATGGAAGTGACTTTTCTTCTTGTATAAGCATCTTTTCTCCTGTATAAAAGCATTATTTTCTTTAATAGTTCATAAGAAAACCTTCTCGGCGGTAAACTTGAGCATATTTTTGCTCGAATCAAGTCACTTTTTCTTCTTATGTAATTCAAACAGCATGCTAAACGTTATTGAATACGGATACTAGGACCTAGTAAGTTTTTCGACTACATTTCTTTTTTGTCGTGCTTCTGAAAAATGCCATCAAGCATGAAACGTTAGGGTGCCTTCAATCTCCTATGACACTGCGCAACACCTCCAGGTCGAAATAGTGGCTCGAAGCAACGCGGCATGTCCGTGCTGCCCACAAACGCGGAAAACTTGAAAAAAGCGTGTTGCTATTTTCGCAGATTGTGCGCGGAGGAATGGATGTCAGATTTTTTTAACGTGATTTTCGAGAGATTTTACTCGTAAAAAGTATATTATTTGGTTGTATTTCTTGCGTGCAATCGACCCATTATATTTCCTCGGGTTGATATTTTTACAATCAAATGCATTGCGTTAATGTTACCATTGTTATAAAGGAGAAGTATCGATAAGGGCCTTTTTTGGCCGCCGCCTAGAATCTGGAAATTTATGCGGGATTTCCAAGTTGACTCAATGTAGTTTACCTCAATGCTCTACGTAAAATTCTGGTTAAGAAACATGTATCAGAATGCTTAAATTCGTACCTTGTCTATAGTGGTCCAATATCAAAAATTGATTTCATGCTCTTGGATCGTACGAAGGAAATACATTGCATTTTTCTCACTCCATAAATTGTATGAAACCAGCAAATCAGACACTGGACGAACCTTTTTCCATTTCTTATGGAAAATAACGTGGGGAATTAAAACCATGCTATTTTCGAATTCAGTCAATTTTTCGGCAAAAATATGTTCACGACTGACTTCTCGAGGATTTGGCATTTCTATTGATGTATGATAATAAGTTCCACTTACTCCAAAAAACACCGAAGATCTTGCTTTTTGAAATTTCAATTTCCTTTCACTCAGGTTGATGTTTTTGACCTGAGAGCTGACGGGACAGTCAAAAACATCAATGCGACTCACCTGAAGAGAGGAAAATTGAAATTTCAAAAATCAAGATCTTTATAAAACTCTTGCCACTATACAATCAAAGTTTTACTCCAAGAAGTCAGCTTCTTGGCACATCGTGCGTTTCCTCCGACACATTGAGAAACCGTCAAAGAACCAGTTTTCTTCGTTTTAATGAACCCAGTTTTTACCAAAGACGTTTTTCCAATATCTATAAGAGGCATATGACACGCTTATAGGAGCTGTTTGTGTAAAATCATTCATTCTGATGTAATCATTACAAAAATAATAAAACACAATTGTGGAGATTTTTAATGATATTGTATTAATTAACAAAAGTATCGAATTTGTGCAATCCACGAAAACAACAGTTCATAGATTACTTACTCGGTTGAGATTTTACAAATATAGTTCACATCAAAACAAAAAGAATAGAAAAGAGATAGACACGCCACTGAGTCAATACTCGCAAACATTTTTATTAATTTCTAGTTTGAAGTGATTTTCATCATAAATAATACACTAGAATTTATATACCCCCTCATATTAAACAAATCAGGTTTTTTTCATTTTCCATTTTTTATCACTCGCGGGAAATAGGTCTTCGTGAAGTTTAATCAAAACTGAAGTTTCAAGTTCAAAGTCTAGAAGTTCAAGGACAATTTAACAAACTTTGCCCGGAGGATGAGATTTTCAAAATACCTATGGTTTCCAATGTTCAGCTTTCAATAATTTTGGATGAGCTTATCCATTGTCCGAACTAGTTACCACTATAAAATCAAAAAGCTGTGGGGCTTACTCGAAGAATATCCCTCTTCTGATAGTTCTTGCAGACAAAGTTCGTTTTTCCTGTGTATAATGATATGAAACTTTCTTTTCTCTCTTTTTTTCCATTTAAAATTTTTCCCTATTTAAATGCCAATGTCGCAGCTTTCAATTTTTAAGGAAACCCTGCAGGAAAGGTTTCGATCTGGATCGGTAGTTATTACCCTTTAGTTGAGCGTGTATCATTTTGATGACAAAAGTTGTAAACCATCACCCGGAAACTAAGAATCGTTCCGAATATTTTCTTTCGGATTTTTGGGAACATTTTTCTATGCTTCGGTAACTTCCACACACCGCATTACCAAATCCAGCAAATTGGCAACATTGTTTTTTTCTCCAATTTAACCTATGGAAATGTATCGATTCTAGGAGGGGGTAGCTGCCCCAACAAGAATCGATTATTCATCACAGGTTTGAATGGAGGAAAGCCAATGGTGCTAAATCGCTGAATCCGCTTCTGACACACCATTAAAGCTCACTATTATACTTGGAAGGGATGATTGCTGTGCTTGACTTTTAAATGCCCAAGTTTTGCTAAAAACATGTTGAAGTATTTTTGTATTTTACTATTTGTTTACAAATGGGGCTTTGAAAAAATAAATTAATTTATTAAAATAAAATAAAAAATAACTACCTTCGTAAAAATAAATAACCGACCAAACTAAAAACAATCATTGAACAAAGCTCACAATATTATTGTGATCCGAATCTTAATTGAGCCTTAGTAAAAGAACCGATTTGTGCCAAAATGCTACGTTGCACCGAAAATCACCATTGTTCAATTGGCGCTTTAAGGTAAATATTTTGACACATGCTCGCCATCTTGAAATTTAATTTTTATTCGTAGAACCCGGAGACTTTCCAGAGAACCTAAACTATGAAGTATCACACGGACGCACAATCACCGCACCGTTTTATGTGGAAATGAAAAGGTCATAGTTGAGCCTACAATGAGGCGTTATATTTGAAATTTGTTATACACTGATGAGTGTAATCAAGAGATTTTGCCATATTTTCAATCTCTTAAAAAACCACCAACATTTTTTTAATAACTTTTGTTGCCTGAAATGTTTGGAACATTTTTAAGGAAAAAATGTACATAAGATTCCGTAAAATGACACTGATTGATTTTCCTTTTTTAACACATAAAATGACAGAAATTTGCACTACGAATGATGTACAATCTAGCGTTTTTCCCCCGAAAATAAATCAGCAGGCATGATATGCCATTACATACATTTTCGATTGGGTATGCTTTTTTCGGGGCTTAACTCTCTCTTACGCCAGGTTTTCAAAGCCGAACGGTTGGTAGTATCGCACGAAAAAAGCTAACCCAAATTTGCTATCCCAGCTTCGAAAATTCCAAACCAACTTTATAGGAACAAATTATGAGCGCATCTGCAAATTTTATCATCCGTCCATAATCTGGAGCGTATTTTTCCGCTCCAATCAAGAGCCAAAAAACAAGATTACAACTGGAATTCAATGATAAAATGCACTTTTCGGTATTAAAAACTATGAGACTTTTTTTGTTGAGCTCTTGAGTTCGTGATTATTGCCTTTCTTAATGATGTACTGCTTAATGTAGAAATTGAGGAAGAGAATTAGGAATGCAGTGACGTGGAAGAAGAGGAGGTAGATTATGCTTCGAGGCACAGGGCAGTTCATGTAGACAGCCGTGCAGTGAGCTAAAATCACCACAAACTGAACCTGTAAATAAAAAAGGCAGCATTAATGCGAAATCGCCGAGGACACGTGTAATTAGTAGTGAGAATATGATTGAATTAAAATGAACAAAAGAATTGTGGAAGAACAAACATCAATGTGGTTTAATGATTTTGACTTCTGCCACCGCGCCGAGCTGACTGCACTGTGTTTGACGCAATGCGTGAAGTATTCATGCAGTCTTGCAGGCGCTATGCGTTTCACATTGACCGCTGCTCACCGTATTGTGTTTGACGCAATGCGTGAAGTATTCATGCAGTCTAGTAGGCGCTATGCGTTTCACGTCGACCGCTGCTCACCGCATTGTGTTTGACGCCATGCGTGAAGTATTCATGCAGTTTTGTAGGCGCTGATGCGTGTTAAATGCCGACCGCTGCGCCGAGGGCTTCTCTTTTTCATCTCAAGTCCTCGTCATCATTGCTCTCTGCGCCGCGTCGTTCCAGACTCGACTAATTAAATGTTCTGTCTCATGTATCACCGAAAGACGACAAAATTAGAATTTACTATACTCTCTGGAAATGAGAGATTTTGTCGCCTTTCCTTGCTTGTAATTTATTTTCTGAATCCAATTTTTTTCGCGTGCCGCCATGGGCCGCGGCCCTTGTGGCCACCTCCTAAATCTGACCCTGGTCATAGCTGGGGTAGCTAAACAGGCTGTCTAGTTCAAGCGGGTACCAACGATAGACTCTATCGTTGCGTAGTCCAACATTTTCCGACTTAGTCTATGACAATCACCCACCTCAACCATTAGGATGGCTCCATTTTCCCATTGTGTCTCGTGTCAATGGCTTTGTCTATCAATTCAAATAATCAGCCCACCGAACCTATAAGCATTGTGATCTGTATGAAATATTTTCTCTTCATGCAGCATCGTGACTTTCTACTTAGGTCGTTTTGTAAACGTTAAGTAGCAAAGACCTTATATCTATCGTGGGCCCTACAATAAATAATTGTATCTGTACATTTTTTTTATAAATAAAATATTTACTTACAATTTGCAGTCTGGTAACAATCATTTTCATCCTGATGTATTTTTTTCCTATGCCGGGGCTTAAGATACTGACTAAGTAGTAGGTGTACATGATGACATGAATCAAGGCGTTCAATACTCCGGGTAATGTTGAGTGAAGAGCTGCAAACAAAATGAACTATTAGAATGACTCGAGATAGATCTAGAACTAAACTAACTGTAACTAACTAAATTAAAACTAACTTTAAAAAACTAACTAAACTAACTAAACTGTGGTCTGCTTCAGGATCTACTCAAAAAACGTTGCTCATTAGGTACTGCTCATTCGTTCCGTATTACGAAAATGACTTCACTTTGCGTTTTTTCTTTGTTGCAAGTAAGTTCATGATGCCACTCTTTCAAATCTAATATCAAGCACACCAAAAGAGAGTCGATTCCTTATTTCAGTTTAAATCCTTTTAATGAGAAAATATGTGTAAATACGCACCTTGTCGAATGCTGCCGTGCTAAGGAAGAACGCCGTATGAACATTCGGGCGTTGACTTTCCTCCGATAAAATATCTATTTTTGAGGAAAGTTATGAATATTTTTCCTTGAAATTTCCAGACTTTTTACGTTTAACCACAAACGAAATCCTGTGAAAAATTGGAGGAGGAATATCCATAGAATTTCCTGAAAATTTGTGATTTGATGAAGGAAATTTGGCAATGCCTGATGGCTCATACGGCGCTCCTCCTTGGCACGGCAGAACGGTTCTTTGAGGTACAAGGTTTTGGAATTTCACTGTCGACCCATGACGATGAGTAGGAAATTCAAAATTGAGCAACCGAGGCAAATGCCTGTATGCACATTCGCATTTCATGTAAATGTCGAAGGTAAACAGTCAAATCACGCATTTTATCAAATGCCGAGGTAGACAGTCAAAGTCTCAAAGGTTACGATGTTTCTCATGTTTTCGCACAGAGACAGCTCGAATATCTAATATTTTAAAAGTAAAATTCCATTAAAGTACCAAGTAAAGTAATACAGTACCATAAAGTATTCCAGATGTAATTGCATTTCCCGTTCAAAAACACTCCTCACATTTCTTCAAATGTCCCAATTGTGAAATATGTTCATTTTATTAAATTCTGTGTATTTTGAGATAAATGAGCAATCCAGGACTAGGAGCAACTTATTTATCATCGTATGAAGCACATTTCATGTGAGAATTCCTTCTCACCTGATCAGAGGATCATCATGATCAGATAATTTTGTCTACAGTTAATAAAACAATCAGAATTTCAGTCTAAATAAGAATATTTGACTATTTGCCTAGGCATTTAACCAAATCCCTGATTTGACTATTTGCCTTATACATAAACACAAAGCAGTATTCTTAATACTATCACCCTAAGCTCCTCTTTCATCGTATCATATCATAGTTGCAACAGATAACTTGCCTCGCGTATCGCTGGGTTGTTGTTGTGAGGGCCAGGAGAGCGAAAGCGCCTTCAACTGAGGGTGTATGCAACAAGGACATCCGCGAAGCACGAATAGTTGTATCTACTATTGAAAGGCGCTACTATCGAATTTCGCGTCCGACCTTCAGATAGTTGAGGTAATTCTGATTACGGTCGTTCATAGAACCTTGGATTTATTTCTAATCATTACCTAATCCATGATTAATTATTGCTCTCTGACATAAAGCATATTAATTGAGATTGAGGTATTATTTAAAAATTCTAATGAACTTATGCAAATATGAATTTTGTCGTCAACTATCACACTGCCACTATCCGTGCAGTTAATCTACTTTGCGTAGACGTATAAGTTTACCAATTTTTCTGAGAAGTGGAATTCTTTACTTTCTCTGGGAAAAAATTGAGTTAAGTAAAAAACTTACGCCTGATGTATTTAAACCCGAACCATACGGTCAGCATCATGCTTGAATGGTGATAAACGTGGAGGAACGAAATATGAGAGTTTTTCTTATTGAGAACAAAAAATACCTAAAAAAATGAACAAAATAAGGACATTATTGGATAATGCGCAAAAAGTTAAAAAATGGGGGGGGGGGGTCTTTCTAAAAATTCAAAGAAGGGAGCCTATAACTACCAGGCACCGATGGGAAAAAAATGTTACTACAGATGATAATGCGTTACAGAAATTATGAAACCTACAATTTATATGTATACATCTGCGAAATTAAATGATGAAAACTTCATGAGAATAAATCGTCACCTTCCGGCCAAACTATTACAAGCGCCGTGAGACGTTTAAAAATTTCCGCCACTATTTCATTCTTTTACAGAGAAATTGTTCACAGATGCCGTCCGAAAATTTCACCGAATTTTCTTGGTGCTGCCGATACAATTCAGTGAAATTTTCAAACAGATTTGACCAACAATTTCCCTGTAAAAAATTAAAATGGCGGCGGAAATTTCTAAACGTCCCATGGCATTTGTGATAATTTGGTCGGATGGTGACGGAATACGATTGTTGATATCTCATACATCACTGGCTTTCCCAGGATTTTCTAAATTTAATTGCTTACCTCCCATAAAATAAGCATCGTCTTATCATTCCCATGAAAACAAAAAAATGTATATTCTAGAATTTTCAGTAATTTAACTAGAATGCCTGGGAATTTAAACGAGAAAATATGAAGTACAATTGCAAGTATTTATGCTGAAAGGAACTATGTGCATAGGGTTTACATGCAACATAGTTCCTTTTAACATTATGGTAGGAGGAACTATGTTGCACGCAAATCCTATGCACACAGTTCCTTTCAGTAAAAATATGTCCAATTCAACAAGTTTTTCTCGCATAGTACTTACAGTATCTAAGAGATCAAGAACTTTGGCCATCAAAAACCACCAGCTTCCTCGATTGAACTGAAAAATTGAAAAATGATTTAATTAAAAACTATCGTACGGATCAAAGTAGACCTGCGAGAGGGAACGCAATTTGTTGCGAATAGATTTCAGCACAACGAAATTAAAAATTAGACTTGACTTACTGCAGATGACTCCTTCCCTCTATACACGTTGCTTGAGAATAGTAAAATTATTAAAAAGTATTAGAAATTTTGAGTTTTAACAAATGAACGGCGATAGTAAGAATCAGTCTTATCTGCCCTTCAGCTTTATTGTGTACGAGTATTGTGTTGTGTTCAGCTCTTTATAAGTGCCTTCGATCTCAAAGAGATGCAAAACTTGCCACGAGGTTGTAGCAAAATATCTCAGTTGTCTTATCAGAGACAACTGAGAGGAGTTTTTATCAGAAAACTCCTACAAATTCAGTTTTTTATCATCCGAGGTTTATTGAGTACCTCAACATAACCTCACAAGTGTAAATTTTGGTGTTTTCTTCTTTACCCTACACACTGGTCTTGCAGCAAAAAAAATTGCGACAAAAATGTACTTAAAAACGATTTTAGGAATTGGGTGAGTCTGTAGTATACGTGGACTTAAAATTGCGAAAAATCAATATCTTGGCTGATCCTAATTTCAAGGTATCGCAATTTGAAATTTTCATATTAAATGCAAGTCTCCTACTAATTTTGATCCGCTTTTGTATTTATTTGTTTATTGAATTGTTATTGATCGGTTCACGTTTTTATTTTTCGTTCGATTCATGTCGATCGAATACATGCCCTCTTGTTACATGCAGACTACCAGGCCCGCCACAAGGGGGGGGGGATACTGGGTCCTTGGTACCGGGGCCCGGGCCCTGGAGGGGCCCGTGACGCAGGTGACAAACCACTACGAATTCATGTGTAACCCTTGTCTCGTAGGGGAGAGTGAAAAAATTACCCTAAAAATTCCGCAAAAGGTGAATAAAGTTTCAAAAACATGCTAGCAGGCCCGCCACAAGGGGGGGGATACTGGGTCCTTGGTACCGGGGCCCGGGCCCTGGAGGGGCCCGTGACGCAGGTGACAAACCACTACGAATTCATGTGTAACCCTTGTCTCGTAGGGAAAAGTGAAAAAATTACCCTAAAAATTCCGCAAAAGGTGAATAAAGTTTCAAAAACACGCTAGGGCACTATAAAATTTTTCTTACTTTTTTAGAGATTTTCAAGATTTTGAGTAAATGTACAATGATATTTTTAGTAACCGTGTTTCATTTTCTTCCGTTGTCGGATGCTAAGAGGCTCCTTTCTGGGCATCCTCGACTTCAATGCGGCTTAACTCCCTTGCCATAGACGTACGAAAGGAAAGTCCAGGGGGGCCCGGCTCCCCATAGAATTGAAAATTATCATCTGCCCCCTCAAAAAAAAATTTATAGATGTTTTGAATGCAACAATTCGAAAGTTTTTGGTGCTGAAAGTAAACAAAAAGGCGTATTTATTCTGCAGAAATTGATGGAAAATCTCCATCATAAGAGCTTCATAATGCGTCCAAATAGATTTAAAATTTCAAAAATTTCCCGGGGGAGGCCCCCCGGACCGCTCCCCCCCCCCCCNCCCCCCCCCCCCTGTGCTAGGGGCCCGGGCCAGAAAATTGGTACCAGGGCCCGAGATGGGATGTGGCGGGCTTGCATGCTAGGGCACTATAAAATTTTTCTTACTTTTTTAGAGATTTTAAAGATTTTGAGTATATGTAGAATGATATTTTTAGTAACTGTGTTTCATTTTCTTCCGTTGTCGGATGCTAAGAGGCTCCTTTCTGGGCATCCTCGACTTCAATGGCTTAACTCCCTTACCATAGACGTACGGAAGGGGAGTCCAGGGGGGCCCGGCTCCCCATAGAATTGAAAATTATCATCTGCCCCCTCAAAAAAAAATTTATAGATGTTTTGAATGCAACAATTCGAAAGTTTTTGGTGCTGAAAGTAAACAAAAAGGCGTAATTATTCTGCAGAAATTGATGGAAAATCTCCATCATAAGAGCTTCATAATGCGTCCAAATAGATTTAAAATTTCAAAAATTTCCCGGGGGAGCCCCCCCCCCCCTGTGCTAGGGGCCCGGGCCAGAAAATTGGTACCAGGGCCCGAGATGGGATGTGGCGGGCCTGCAGACTACCTATCATTTACTCCTTTTTTTTAACCGAACAATTCGCTCTCTGCTGCGTCTGCAGCAATTGTTGTTACGAATATGTTGTGCGTGCTGATTTTAGCTCATCACATACTTCAATCTCTGAAGGTGTTTTATGCGAAAGAAATTCGCCTTCAGCAGCGTCCGCAGAAATTGTTGTTACGAATACGTTGTGCGTGCTGATTATAGCTCATCACATACTCGACTCTCTGAAGGCGTCCTACCAGGGAATCGGTGCCCTGGTTGGAACGTGGGTACCAAGAAGCAAACAGTCCATGATTAGAAGAAATAACATATCTTTCCTAAACACCTACTCAGTGCGAAGCAGAGAAATGTGTTCTCTCCGGAGCAACCAGTCGGTGCAAATAAGAGAAATGTTAGCACTCCTGAGCAACTAGTTTATGCTTAGGAACGGATACATTCCTCTCTTAAGCACCAAGCAGTTGCTTGGAAGAGAAAACATTTCTCTCGAAAAGAACTACTCAATGCAGAGGAGAGGAATGCCTTTCCCAACCTCAAACTAGTTGCTCGGGAGAGAAAACATTTCTCTCCTCTGCATTGAGTAGCTGTTTCCGAGGGAAATGTTTTCCTATCCGGAAACGAAAGTAGTCTTTCTGGAAATGAAAGTTTCCTCTCTGCGCAGGAAAGTTTCCTCACCAGAGACGTTACTTTCCTTTGCGGAGACGAAACGTTCGTCTTCGAGATGTTCTTCTCCGTGCGATGAAAATTCTGTAAAAATTTCATAAAATGATATGTTGATGTGCATATTTTCCTTCAAAAAAATAAAATGGGAGCGGAGATTTTCAAACACCACAAACGAGGTACGTGGTCTGGTCGTTTCACCATCGATTAGCATTCACGATCTCAGCATGCACTGCAAAGGGTGTAGACGTGAATATCCAAAAGAACTGCTAAAGTGCTGGTCTGACATCTATTTTGTTGAAAACTATTTAAAAATCGTCCTCATTTGCTGACCACGAACGTAGAATTAACACGTTAGACAAACACTCAGGCGGATCCAGCAATTCGGCAACACCGGATTCCCTCCATTTAAACCTATGCTAACTTATGGATTATTGTCGGAGCACTGGTCTCTCCAAGAGTCGATACATTTCTATAGGTTTAAACGGAGAAAAACAATGTTGCCAATTTGCTGGATCCGTCGATGCCGGTGACAGAATCCTTACAAGGAGTAGATGAGCAGCTTCCTGAGGTGAAACTGCCACAGCGGTCGGTCGACAGCATTCTCGCCAAACATAGGAAACGAAGCCAGGTGTTCCAAAACACTGAAATAAAAACAAAGTTCAAGAGATGTATAAAATGATTAAAATAAACTAATTGTTTTGACTTTTAAATTTTGAAAACTCGACTTTACAATGGAAAATCTTATGATTTTAATGACGACGACCGTCCAGGGGAAACCACGTCATTTTCCTCATGAAAAGACGTAACTGCATTTCAATGTTGCCAGATTTTTCCACGCAAAATTGCATTTTGACCGGTAGAATTTTGAGAGTTTCTAATTGCAAATTTCACTTATTTTTTTCTGACCTCATGCAAAAAGCAGACAAATTTTCGACGAAAATTATGCAGGTTTAATCTCGTAAAAAAAACTGGACTGTTTAAGTCAATTGTGCAAGCGTGGAGTTACGTTCCTTCGTACGAAAACGACGAATGGACGTATTTCTTTAAACTTTCAACACTAGGATGGTTAACAACGTATTAAGAATTTTGTTTGGCAAACAAACCAAAATTTGGAAAACTTGTTCAGCTCATAATGTCAACCGAATCTCGTCATCCACTTAGTAGGTAAGATGATTTTTGCCCGGGAGTAAACATTTTCACCTGTCGCCAAGAGGCCAATGGAGGGTCTTGTGTCTCTGATTCCTCACGAAATTGGAATGAGTTTTTCCCTTGTATTCTCAGCAACCGGTTTATCAAACACAACTCGACAAAAATTGTGTCACTGAAAATGTTTCTTTCTCTGGAATCTGGGGTCTATTTGGACGTATTTCTGCCAAACGGAACTATGTGCATT